CAGTAATGTAGCCTAAATTAGTTTTAAGTACAGTTTCTGTGTGTCTTGGAGCTGAGAATATTATCCATCCGGGAGAGGGGGTTTGGCATCTTAATGCAGTTTGACGTGTCAGGACATGAGAAAAATCCCACTGTAGCGGGAAGATGGGAGGGAGAGAGCCTGGAATATAGGAACAGAGATTGAGTAGTGTTGAAAGTGTGAGTATTCTCTAAGTAAAAAATGATGGCAAAATTTATATCTCTGACATTTCTGGTGTCTAAATTTCAGCCCATCTCTGATCCGTTGAGCTGTTATTTTGCAACGGGTGAGACAGTGATTCAGATCAGTGTTGCACTCACCTACACATTGGTGCAATGGCTGGCACACATAGCTGTGCTCAAACCTCCTTCTGACTCACACCAGCCTTGCATAACCTCTTAAGTCATGTCGGAGAACTTCATAATGACTTGTTCTGGTTACTCGAGAAACTAAATATTTGATTGTTGCTATAATAAAAGTCAGTGTATGTGTTTTTTTACTGAGTAAAAACCCCTCCACTGATTGAGTAAACACTTTTTCTTTTCAGTATCACATTTGTAAACTGACCATGTCAAGTGAACCACTGGACCACTCCAATGAACCAGATATAGATGAAGTAGAGGCTGCCCTGTCCAACTTGGAGGTGACACTGGAAGGCGGACACACGGACAGAATTCTGGTAAACATATTTTTTTAGACAGTACGACACCGGAGTAGATATTAACCGTAATTTTAAGGTTTTCAGCTCTGTTACAGTAGAACATCTGTTTTGAAGCAGGGGTGATAGGTAGGCCTCCGGTGATTGCATGTCTTAACATGGTGATGTCAGGAGAAGACACATGATAATTGACAGTTGTTTGTCCCACCCCCAGGAAGACATTACAGACATTCCACAGCTGGCAGATTCCCTCCGACTGTTTAGGTAATCCCACCTTTATTCCTATTCCTATCACATGAAGATTATTAATAACTTAAGTAAAATCTCAAATACCTGTCTCTGAAATTGATCTTTTAACCTATAAACCTTCACCTGTCTAGTGCCCTTAAATCTGCGTAATTAAGTGACTTGCGAGATAATTTTGGAGCAGCCATAAGGTGATTAATGGGACAGGGGTAAAATGTTCTCTGTACAAATGTATTGTGTGTGTCTATGTTGCTTTTAATCTTATAATGGCCTCTAGGTCATCTGATAACTGATTAAAGGAGCCCAGTAGCCTATGCTATTTTAAAAAAGGATTATTCAGCCTTTTACTCAGATAAGGTCATAAACTGTATTGCAGGAAAAAAACAATTTCTTTTTCTTTCTTGCGGTCTTGAATCAGGCCCAAAAGACTAACTCTGCGGCCATACAAAGAGTACTGGTTTGTATTCAAGGACACCACCATCTCCTACTACAAGAACAAGGAGGCCTCCAATGGAGAGCCCATAGAGCAGTTTCACCTCCGAGGTCAGTGAAAAAGAATCATGTTAAAAACACTTCTTAATGTGTTCTGTGTTGTTGAGGATTCATAACCCTCAATTTAAGCATTCCCATGATGTGTGATTATGTCTTTGAGCATCCGAGCTTCTTAATCATACATATAATGTTATGCACATACTAGATAATGGACAAACTACTCTAAAACAACTAGTAAATATCAACTATCACAGTCCCGAATAAAATTCAGTGGTCTTCTCCTTTAAGCTGCGGCAGTTACTGCAGTTTCATTCTGTGATCATATTAGCAGATCTGTTGTGCCTTGCTGCTCTTCTTCTGTGGTTAAATCCACTACTATCTCTTCCTCCTTATTTGATTCAGGTTGTGAGGTGGTCCCTGATGTCAATGTGACAGACAAGAAGTTCGGCATCAAGCTCCTGCTTCCGGTTGCTGACGGGATGAATGAGGTGTACATCCGATGTGACAACGTAAGGCTCAGCCCTTCTTCCCCATTCTCTTTCTGTGATAACCGGCAATTCTGCATCTTTTTAAAATCTGTGTAAAGCGTGCATATGTGAATTTGAGGCTGGTATTGTAAATGTCACTGTCCTGTAATTGCCCTCTGCCGCAGGAGACACAGTACGCAAAGTGGAAAGCTGCATGTATCCTGGCCTCCAAGGGCAAGACAATGGCCTACAGCTCCTACAAGTCAGAAGTGAGGAACATCCAGTCCTTTCTGCAAATGAAGAGCCTGGCGCCCCCTCCTGGCCAGGCAGCTCCTGACCTGGACACTATGGAGATGAATGCTGAATGTTTTGTTTCCCCACGCTATGCCAAGAAGCACAAGACCAAACAGGTGTGTTTCAGGGCTAAGTGCAATGTACTTGACTTTGCCAACAGCCATCAGAGTTGCATCACTGTTATCACTAGATATATTAGCTAAATCTGCCTCTGGTGATTGTTTTAAGCTAACAGCACGGATCCTGGAGGCCCATCAGAACATAGCACGACTGTCCCTAATGGAGGCCAAGATGCGCTTTATCCAGGCCTGGCAGTCGCTGCCAGAGTTCGGTATCAACTACTACATTGTCAGGTATGGTGTATATATATATAGTTATAATACACACACAACTGGTGACATATTTGAACATGTAGATGTAATTTCTGAGTGTTAATTTCAGAGGTTATCCTTTTATTTGTGTTTCAGATTCAAAGGCAGTAAGAAGGATGAGATTCTGGGGATCTCATACAACCGTATGATTCGCATTGACATGTCCTCTGGTCTGCCTGTCACCACATGGAGATTCGCCAACATGAAGCAGTGGAACGTCAACTGGGAGATAAGACAGGTGAGGGACAGTTATGCCGTATATTATGATTTTACCTGTCTCTTCATTTAGGGTTGCAGTTGTTTTGGGATACAGTCAGTATTATTTCAGAGACATGAATCCTTTGTATGTAATTCCAGGTGACCATAGAGTTCGACCAGAACGTGTCAATAGCCTTCTGCTGTTTGAGCTGTGACTGCAAGGTGGTCCACGAGTTCATTGGCGGTTACATCTTCCTCTCCACAAGATCTAAAGACCAGAACGAGACGCTAGACGAAGACCTGTTCCATAAACTTACTGGAGGTCAAGAATGAGCAAAGATACAAGCCTGTGCTTCTTCTAGTAAATCTGTTGTTTGTTTAGATAAATGTTACAATGTGAAAATACAGAATGCATCTACAGTAAAAGTGGTAACACTGAGCAAATCACTGGCAAAAAAAATGTCACTGACTGTGACTGTATCAGACATTTTCACTCAACAATGGCATCAGTTTTTGTCACAATATAGCCTGATGTAAACAGTTATAGCAATGTACCGTGCACTAGGAAAATAATGTTGATGTAAATATGTAGTCAAGATTTGTTTTTCTAAATTTTTCAAAAAAACCTAATCTCTTAATTCAACTTTTTTTACTTTGGTAAGATATGTTTTTTCAACTGAAAACGTTTGTAAAAAATCATTAAAGGGTGTTTTTACATTTCACAACCTGTTTCACATTTATTCATTTGCTGAAACACAAACAGAACTGAGTTTTTACATCAGCAGCTTGTTGCGCTTTGTTCTTCCATTAAACAGAATTCATGGTAGACAGAGTCACTTTTGTTCTATTCATGTTAATGTGACAAAGAAATGTCATACTTGCATTTACAGCCATATGAACACTGTTAACTTTAAAATTCAGATGTTGAAGATGTCTTGAATTTGTGAAGGACTTCATAAACTACGTGACTTACAACTAGCTTTCAGACACTGAACACTTTAAGACATTCTTAGTGCTGAGAAACGTTCTCTACTCATTCTCCAGCTCCAATTGTGCTGCTTTAATGACTGATTATGTATCCCCTAAGATGGCTGGCCCTCTGTCTTCTTAATGTAAGGACATCTGTTCCATATTGGAAGCACACATCCCTTAATTACATAAAGTATTAACTGCCCTGTGCTGAACGGCTGCCACGCTGTTTGAAACATTTTCACCCACAGTCACCATTTTTACTTAATTCTAATACTAGAATAATGCTGAGTTGAATATAACTTGGTTTGGACTGAAATCAGTTCTTACTGTCTGCTGGAGTTGGCACACTTTAAAAGCAGTTATAAAACACCAGATTGTGGCCACCTGGTGGGAAATAAAATGCACCCACCTAGGTTGGGCATAGTCACACACCGGCCATGTTTGCACCCTAACTGTGTTGAAATGCAGTCCAGCAGTATCCTTATTATGTGCATTCTTTTATATAAGTCCAGCTTGAAAATCAAGTCAGTATGACATTTTATCTGGCCAGAATTAATAAACATTTGTTTATGGTCAATGTTATGTGGACAATAAAAAATATGTGGCAGTAGTTTGTAATTTATAAAAGTATATAATAACTGATATATTTTGCAATATATTGAAACTATTTGATATATTCCATATATTTAAATATACAGTAATACACAACGCTATATGAAGAATAGGTGAAATGTTTCATCCCCTGATATTATATATGCAAACATGCTGAGATAGTCTATAATGGGAATACTTTACATTTCCCCACTGAGACTGGACAGTGAAGGGTGCGGTGTGGTCCTGTCCCCTTATAATCTCAAATAAAGTCACTTGGGAAGTTTCAGAGATATACCTTTTTCAATTTGTATTTAAAAAAAAGGGACTTTTTCACCATGATGAAATCATGACATGGCAAACCTTATGTCCACACACCCTCACTATATGTGTACCCTCTTCTAACACTGCTGCCACATGCACATATTACCATAAACTAACACTTTACATCTCAAAAGAGTCATTTTATAAGCACTCATAAAACAAACATATCTTTAATCACCAAAGACTATAGTCGGTGCTTTTCTCTTAACTCTATTCCTTAGTTCCCGTTTATCGATGATTCTGAAATCTACATTTTAACCCAAACATCGCACTTCACTCCTATTGGCTGGCACGCTCAGCGGTGCACATCCAGCCAATCACAGCCGAGTACGTGAAGTAGGGAACCATCCACAGTCTGCGATCGTTTAGTCGCCCTGAGAAGCTAGGCAAACGAAAGCTAACACGTGGGAATAGCAATTTGACGTGTTTTGCTTTTACTTCAGGGCGGTAAAGTGCCTTTTTTTAACCGTGCCTTGTCAACAGAGAACCCGTGCAGTTCTCTGACGGTGATAGTTAGCCGTCAGCTGACTGCTGAGCTGGTTTATCTGCCTTATTATGGCGGACAACGGGGACGACGAGTCTCAGTACAGAATTAAAGGAGGTGACTACGTTGTGTTGAAACGAGGAGAAATCTTCAAAGCTGTGCAAATTCAACCTAAGAAGTAAGTTGAAAACACATTTGAACTAACTAAACAAGAGCCTCAATATGCCCCTCTCCTTTATTATTATTGAATGAGCGGCACAAACTAGCTAGCTAAACCATAACTGACACTACAGATCATTCACATCATGTACAAATACGAATGAGACTTCTACAAAGGCTGGCAGTGAGTATTGTGACATGTGTGTCTGGTCTACTCACAGGAAGGTGATTTTCGAGAAGCAGTGGTTCTTCCTGGATAATGCTGTGGGACACTTGTACAGCACCACATTTGAGATTGGGTCTGGAGGGGTCCTGCAGCTGAGGAAGCTCAGGGACGCAGAGAGCTCCAGCGGTGTGTAACCTGCTGTTCAGTGCAACACACCAGTCCCATTCATGTTTGAGCCATACAACTGGCTTCTCTATGACTCCAGTGGTGTTTTAATTTGTGCTAATAATCTGTATATGAACATGTCAAAGACTATTGATGTTACTTTTGTTTTCCTTTCGTGTAATCTCTTTATATGTTCTTCCCAGATGCAAAGGAGGCGGGTACAGACAACAGGAACATTGTAGATGATGGAAAATCACAGAAACTGACCAGGGATGACATCGAGATGCTCAAAGAGCAAGGTCTGAAGGGTCAGGTACAGCAGACATCTTCATTTAATACATAACACTGAATGACACTGGCAATGTCCTGTTTACCGAACATGAATAGATTCTACTGGTAAGTATTGTCTGTGTAGCTAAAGCTTTATTCGTCCGTGCCATAGATTGTTTGACAAGAAGCTATTAAAAAAAAAACCACACAAATGAGACACACTTTTGCACTGGAGGCATGTTGCTTTATTACAATGGAAATGAGCACTGTAGTTTAAATTGAGTCAGTCCACTTACATGGTCTCCTGGTGCCATTAATACTCACTGGTGCACAAAATGTGTTATTTGTAGTTTAATATCTGTGATTGTCATCTTAAGTAGGAACCGGTGGGCTTGGGGCTGAGTGCCACAGGCAGGGAGGGAAGTCGAAAAGTATTGAGCGATGGGCCAAATGCGTTGTTGGTTTTTGTCTTGTCATGGGAACCTTATCTTTTAAATTGTCGGACAAAATGCTGAAGTATAAGAGAGAGCAGTGACAGTATGTGAATGTGCTCCACAGGAAATCATTCAGCAGCTTATAGATAACAGCTCAACATTCAGAGATAAGACTGGATTTTCCCAGGATAAGTACATCAAGAAGAAAAAGAAGAAGTGAGTCACTTTTAATGATGCACCCACAATCTCTTTCTGATTTAAAATAATGTAGCGTGCTGTAATTAGTGTTATCTGTTGTTCCCATTTTGTGCTTTCCCAGGTATGAAAATACTGTGACCATTCTAAAACCGTCCTGTCGCATCCTGGCTATGATGTACCAAGGCCGGGAACCGGGGAAGATCCGGTGAGTCAGCACAAGGATTTAGCAGTATGTGTGAAAGTTTTGTTTTTATAGAGTGGAAAGAGATGAATGTACAATGTGTTTTTTGTGTGATACAGCCACCTGCGGTACGACACACTTGCCCAGATGTTGACCCTGGCAAACATCCACGCTGGCAGTAAAGTTTTGGTGTTTGACACTTGCGCTGGCCTCGTGCTGGGAGCCGTCATGGAAAGAATGGGGGGTACGTCAGTCCTGTGAACTTTTCTCTGGTGTTTATCTGTTTTTTAGCTTTTTCTATACAAAAAGTGCCATTTTCGCTGCCCTTTGTGTAATTGTCCTCTCTTTCCTCTTTTCCTCTCCATCCAGGCTACGGCTCAGTAATCCAAATGTACCCAGGAGGTGAGCCTGTTCGGGCGGGTGTGGAGAGTTTTGGCTTCCCCGCACATTTTCACGATACGCTGCATGGGTTTCCCATCTGCCATGTCAATGCTCTGCTGGCAGGCACTCTGGATACCACTGCCAAAGATCCCAGTGCTGGTAGAGCTTTTTTTTTTTCTCTAAATAAATCTCTCCGAAATGTTTATAGCTTTGTTGTTTTTAGATGATACGGAGTCGCTACAACTTAGTGTTTCCTGCCTACAACTTCACAAATGCTGAGATTTGCATGTGTTCCTCTCCAGGAGTCTGTTCTGTGACCTTCCTCTGATATAGATTATCTCCTTCACCATTACAGATTCAAAGCAGTCCAATACGGCTGCAGAGGGGAAGCAAAACCAGCCTGAGGCAGAACGGCAGGGCAGTCCAGAGGAACAGAGCATGGAGACGAGCAGCTGCGCTGACGGTAGCCATGAACAGGAGAAAGATGAGAAGGAAAAACGCAAAGAAGCCAGAGTATGCCCACTATTTACTAACCCCATTAAGGGCATTCCTAATTCCAGTTGTTTTACTGTCATGCCTTTATATGTGTAAGAAACAGGAACAAGCCTGTATTTGAAATATCAAAATTGGATCTTAAAGAGAGCGAAAGTCCTGACTTCATGTTTATTTTTATTTTTTCAGGCTCAGGAAAAAAAGGTAAAGCAGGAGGAGAAACGGAGGAAGCTGGCAGCCGCTGCTGCCCTGCTGGAAGGCAGGAATGCCGACGGGTTGGTGTCAGATTTTGCCTCGGCTTTCACATTTCGGTTTCTCTTCCTGCACCGCTCTTCCCTTTTCAGCATCAGCCTCTCTCTCTCTCTCTCTCTCCTCTCTTCTCGCTGCGCTCTCTCTCTCATCTCGTCTCTCTCTCTCTCTCTCTCTCTCTGACCTCTGCTTTATCAGTTCTGGATTGCACCATGTCGTAAACAATAATTAAAATAGATCTCCCGACATAAAAAAACTGATTAATGATTAAAGTATTGTTAAGTATGTCCATAAAAGTCATGATAAATCCTTGGCCATCCTCTGAGCTCACGCACAATGATTAGCACACGGCGTCCTTACAAGGTGAACAAAGTGATTGCTTTGCAGTTTCCTGTCATTTAGAATGAAGAGCTTGCTTCGCTGCCTTTTTTTATGATTGATGGAGGAAGTGTTGTGAGGGTGACATCCGAGCCAGAAGTACCAGTATTGATCTGGTTAACTTATCGACTTTCCTCTGACTCTTCTCTACATCATAGCAGCTAAATCACAAACAGAGCACAATTTTCCAGACTGTCCTGAATCAGCCACTTTTACTGATTTTCATCCAGCTATATAACATATGAAATGAAGGTCTACAATAGGTACTAAATCCTTAAGCCTTCCGGTCATAACTCACACACAGCACTGACAGGATAAATTACAACGCCAACCTACACATTGCCAATAACAAAGTGTGTGCTTTACAATGTTTTGGACACGTGTGCTTGATCATCCCTTTGTTTCCCTCATGCAGGTTGGTTATAGCCAGCCAGTATCAGCCGTGTCCAGTCCTCATGGGGCTGCTCAAATTCCTCTCCCCCTCCAGGCCTTTTGTAGTCTACTCCCAGCACAAAGAGGTAAGGTCATCACAAGTAGTGTTATTCACTAGAGCCACAACAACACTGTTGATGTCCTGCAGTGAATGAGGATTATTAGTTATCTGGGAAAGATCTATTGGCTGCCACTGGGCAGGTTTTATTGCTTGGAGTCCCAGTGAGAAATGTCCTCTTTACATTACTGCAGTGGACATCCCCTGTCACAGCCCAGAAGTTACAATGCATATCATGTCCCAGCACTTATTCCCTCTGTTGTGCTTATGTCGTTAAAAAAGATCACTGCGTGTGTGTGTGTGTGTGTGTTGACTCTGCAGTCCTCCTCCTAATGCTCCCTTTTCTTCTCTTCCCCCCTCGATGTCTGCAGCCTCTTATCGAGTGCTACACAAAACTCAAGGAACATGGCGGCACGGTCGGCGTCAGGCTCACAGACACCTGGCTCAGGCATTACCAGGTAGGATTTAAACTGAATCATGTTTTGAGTAATCTAGGTAATTAATTGCCTTATTATAAATAAATTTTCAATGGGCAGTTAGCTGCTTTAAGCAATATTTTTACATCCACAATGAATCAAATGACTGTGTGTAATGTTTAAAGGCGTCGCTCCTAGTGATTAACCTACAGAGAGTTATCACCCAACTCTGCAGTTCCACGGTTTGAGCTTTCAGCTCATTGTTTTGGTTTTGTGGTTAACAACTTTGCTCTCTTGACCCACTTTATTCTCGTCAGCGTTGTTTTCAGATGTATCAGCAGCTTATTTCAGCAAAAAAAAAGCTCTAAAATCGCACTTGACGCTACCTGCTCAGCACCATACGGCAGACAGACACAGAGACTAGCTGATGAACATGATGGAGCATTTATCAGCTAAAGAGCCAGATATTTTTGTCAGGAGTTCATGTGGGTTCATGCTCTCTGAATGTGTATTGGACAATTCTTTGCTAACATGTTTGTCTCATAAACTATAATATATCAGTGTTGTTTTGTTGCGCTGGACAAAAAGATCAATCAGTGTTGGTTTAATGCTACGTAAGGAATAGCATCAATCGCATACTTCATTTGAGTCAAATCAAATAACTAAAATTTCACAGAAAGCTTTTTTTAATAAGCAATTAATCTGTAAAAAAAAATGTTTAATACATTTTTTGGTCTATATAACGTCATTTATTTCCATTGTTTGAATATTCACAATTTGCAGTGGTATAAAACATAGATAAGCAGCACATTATCACATTTTAGAGGTTGGAATCAATCAATATTTTGCATTTTTGCCCACTTAAACCATTAAATTGATAAATTGTCTGTCAATCCACTAATTTCAACCCAAGTAAGTCCTTCATTTACTGCTAGAAGAACTAAGTATTGATTTTGTTTTGGTTGAGCAGTGTTGGAGGCTCACGGCACATTTAGCAGCATCAATTCTTGGTGACAAGATACTGCCCCATATCCATTATTACAGACTCCCACCATTTGCTCTCACTGCACATTATTTATTTTTATTTTTATTTTTTAGACCTTTGTTTTCAGCCAGTTGCTGCATGGTGTTTGCATACTTAAAGAGATCTTCCCCTCAGGACCAAAGTGTTATTTCCCCCAGCCCTTCCTGTAGAATTAATGTCTCCTGACTGTATTTCTGCATCGTATCCCTAGGTGTTGCCTAACAGGACACATCCTCTGCCACTGATGAGTGGGGGCGGAGGCTACCTCCTCTCAGGAACAACGGTTGCCACGGACCGCTCTAAACCTGCAGGCTCCCAGCAAGCTGAGGAACCAGCACCGAAGAGACTGAAAATGACAGACACTGAAGGATAAACAAATTCAGAAGCATCAAATCTTTTAAGGGCACATTACCAGTGGCTTATGGGGTTTTTCCTCCAGCATCGACGCTCTTTCTGCTGAACTGATTTGACACATCTGGAATAAGGGAGACAGGGTGTCTGGTTTGCATTCATCAGAACACTTTCTCCCGTCTTGTGTGTTCAGATCAGTGCAGATGAAGGCGTAATTCTGAGGAGTAAACTGTAAGCCAGTTTAGGCTGTATGAGCTCAGTGTATGTGTTGCGTAAGGAACTGCTGAAATAATCTGTGTGTGTTGAGAGTTAGAGACAGATTTTGTCTTATGCCTCGAGATCGTTTTTCCGGTTAATGCTCTCCAGCTTTTAGGTTATAACTTTGTTTTTATTTTGTTATCCCTGCAGGAAGTGCCATTTGTTATATGATCCAGTTGCTAATGCAGCTCCACTGTGGGTTATATCTGTATACTGCACAGAATTAAAAAGCAGTACTAAAAAAAACCTCATGT